TAAAAAGGGAGTTTTGCTATTTGAAAAGGGAGGTTTGCTATTTGAAAAGGGAGTTTTGCTATTTGAAAAGGGAGTTTTGCCATTTGAAAAGAAAGTTTTGCTATTTGAAAAGGGAGTTTTGCTATTTGAAAAGGGAGTTTTGCCATTTGAAAAAGGAGGTTTGCTATTTGAAAAGGGAGTTTTGCTATTTGAAAAGGGAGTTTTGCTATTTGAAAAGGGAGGTTTGCTATTTGAAAAGGGAGTTTTGCTATTTGAAAAGGGAGTTTTGCTATTTCAAACAACCGACTCCAACGTTTCTTAGTGCCATCAGTCCTACCAGTTGGGAGTGCTACCAAAACAAACTTTTACCAAATTATCCAGACACATGTCAATTGATATGTGTTGCATAGAGTGAGTGCTCTGAATCCATATTAGTTTCAAGGTCTCGTAAATGAGGCGTAAAAATACTTGTGGTTCCGGTTTCATATTGTAAAAAAATTAGGGTCGGTAGGTTGGAAATAAATTTTTTTTGTATATTTTTTCATGGTTTTGGCAGTTTTTTGCTGGGCGATTTGCAGTAGAGTCCCGACATCAATATTAATCGACGAATTTAAGCAATTTGGTTCAATAATTAGTGTGACAATGATGCCATTTTGGCATGCTGTACAAGCAGCCTGCAACCACCTGGAGAAAATAGGGTTGCATTGTCATTCAGTCGGGAACCGGCACCACACCTAAGGTTTTTTACACCTAAGGCACTCACAGCAATCCATTACATACCTCCTCTAAGAACATGTAAGGTACTCTTTTCCCCATTCTTTCATCTGTCATACATATATACACAAGATTCTCTTCTGCCATTACATGAAAGTGGTAGCTAAAATATTTAACACAAACATTTTGTTAGAAAAACACACAGAGAAATAATGGTTGTCTGACTCCAAAGTCAAACCGGGTATCCCCTTGCAAGCAACATTGCAGCATTGTCCCAAAATATTGCAATTTTAATAGGCAGATTGCTCTGAGCGATTTGCAACTTTACTCTGAGCGATTTGCAAAGTTCTAGACAGTAACTTTAGCAAAACATAGTTCCCAAAAAATAGCAGAAATAAATCAAGATATGCTCTTGCTTAACCCATTGAGTAGCAGCACTCTCCCCCTGACCAGTAAAGAGGGCCCCCTATACCTCTTCATAATATGCTTTCACGTAAAACTATTTTGCCTTTTCACGAGTCACAGATTAAGAAAATCATCGATCACGTTTCACGGCTAAGTAAAATAAGCCCTTCATGCTTCACACAAAAAGTATAGGGGGCCCTCAGTAAAAACGTCTGGCGTTAGACAGAGAAAAATAATAAAGTAGGGCTCATACATTACCCAGTTAATAACCCTTTGAGTGGCAGCACTCTCTCCTGACAAATGAATCATCCGTTAGACAGAGTACCGTAAACCTCAGACTATAAGCCCCCCAAATATAAGCCCACCACATATACTAACGCTCACCTCATTCCAAATATAAGCTAAGTAACCTGAATATAAGGCCCCCTCCCAAATATAAGTCCCCCAAATATATTAGCCCAGTAGCCCACTACGAACATTGACATGGTCTTTTAATAGCAGAGAACTGTTTTTGAACAGATGACAATATTTAAAACCATTGTCATTGTCTTTATAGCCCACTATGTTATTAATACATGTTTATTTTCCTGTTTATGACTGACTTGTTTATGTCTGACTTGTTTATTACCAACACAAAAGATCGTCCATGTATAAGCCCCCCCCCATATATAAGCCCACCCTTGTATCAGCCCATCGAAAATCATTTACAAAAGTACAAGTAAGCCCAGGGCTTATAGTCGGAGGTTTACGGTAAAATAATAAAGTAGTGCACATACAGACTCACTGCATTTCAGATGATATAAAATAAATTATTAGTCTTTGATACTATTTTACTGTCTAATACACAGGCAATATTGATATGCACAAAGCAAAACGTGACTAACAGACATAAAATCCAGATATTTTAACAATATTTACTTCACAAAACCTAAAATACAATGCATTTTTAAATGGACAATAATTTGACATTGTAAAGTTATGAATTTCGCTTGCAGGCCCTAAATAATATTCACGAGCCATGCTAATGACAAGGCCTGACAAAAAATATTATGCAATTCTGGTTTCATATCCTGAATCCAAAATATTGTGCCCTACTTTAATATTATATTTTACTCTGTCCAACCCTAGACAATTTTACTCATCAAAGAGAAAATGCTACCCGTGTCTTGTTACATTAAAAACAGCCTGCTAATGCAATCACTATATACCATTAATTTTACTCTGTCTAATTATGCCAGATGATAAGCAGAATGTATGCTGTAATATTTTCAGCATTTCTTGACAAAGTATTCATTGAAGGCCACATAAAATAAATTCTTTGATCCTCATCACTAACCAACTGTAATTTAAGATCCCCATTTATATCTCTCGTTATACAATATAAATGTACCGTCCGACAAAAGATTTCAAGACAGTAAAGTTTTTTTATATTTTATATTGGGGTTTTTAGTGCCATTTTAAACTGCCAATTTCCAACAAATCAAACCTTTCAGGAAATTTAATTGCATATAAAGGAACTTTGCCATTTTCAATGTGTAGTGATGAGAATCAAATTATATGCTACCATGGATAATAAAATAAATGGATAGGAAACTAGCTGACATAACCTAATGTTTTCAATGGGCTGATGGCATGGTTGGATGTTCAAACCTAGTTGCAAACTAAATTCTCAAAAAACGGCATGTTTAGCAATAATACAGCTAAACATTTTAGTCAAAGAGCAAATAAATATAACTATGCCATTCTACAATGAAATCTCCAAGAATTCCCAGTCAATTTTAGCAAATATTTCAAGCACTAAACAGTGAAAAATACATCGCAAATTTCTTTAAAATTTGTGATGCCAATTTTGTAGCTACAAATGTAAAAAAAATACAAAACAAAGACGAAAAACGTTTACCTCGAATACTTTGTTGTGGCTTAGGCATGTTTTTAAAACAATTATCTAGACCAGTTTATGCTTCAATATCACCTTTTTAATGGAAAATATAGCAAAACAACAAAAATGCCAAGAACTTTGGTAATGGGTCATTCCAGAAAATGTCCATACTACCCCCACGGAGGAAATTGGAAGTTAACCCCACTACCCCCTTCGGATGTCCCAACACATTTACTACTGTCAGAAACAATTTTGTCTCCCCCTCCGGACGACAGAAATTCCCTCCGTGGGGGGGAGTGTGGATCTTTTCTGGAACGACCCAATATTCACAATATGAGTGACGGCACGTTTTTAAACAGGGATGAGGTCAATGACATCAGGAAGTTTCCTATCCAGTTATTTTACAATCCATGATATGCTACTAAAATGTCAAACTGACACAAGCGATAAACACTTTTTCATCCAGTCAATTACTGAAGAAAGGCCAGTGTGGAAAGTTTGTATCGCACGGCGGATATCTCCGGTGCGCAATTTTGATGCTTTCCATATATTTACTATTGAATTTTGTAAATCTCCGGCGCACAATTTCCAAACTTTCCAGTCTGGAAGAAAGGTGTAAATTGGCGTAATTTTTGCCTATTCCTAGCTAGCCAGCGTGGCCGGCTCTTTTATAAGTAGAGCCTGCCCGAAAGCCCTAGTCAAATTGATGCCACCCACTTAGTTAATATTCCATATTAACACCGCCCACTCGAAATAGTTTTGTATAAATTAATGACTTAAAATTTTAATTGTTGCATATTTACTATAGCCTGCGCTACATGCTTTCAATAAACTTTTTACAATAGATGGATAGCGATTCAACTGCCTGGAAATACAAGCAAAACGTCGGCATTTCGAGCGAAGGCCCTTAGTAGGCCCAGTAGTAGACGAAGACCGTTCAAAATTATATTCTGCTTTGCACCTGTATGGCTGTACTACAGTTATAAATATTGCAGTATTAAATATAATGACTTAGGAAAAGTTTAAATAGACCCCTTCCCGTGTTATACTCGTTGGCAGGCAAATGTATTTTAAAAGCTCCAAAGAGAGCTTCATATTATTATGGTGTATTAAACACAATGGGGAATGTATTGTTTTATATAATCGTAATTTGCCAGCCAGCAAAATATAAACAAGGCAAGGACAGCCAAGGTTTTATACTCTATATACTATAGTGACCATACGGTAAAATCATACAACATATGCAGTAATAGCAGTATGGCTTGCCGTATTCTGTTTAGATACCGGTATATGTTATACATTTTACACTTTGTCTTTTGAATTTTATATTTTAGCCGACAGGTTTACACTTTAATATAGCGATGCCGTTTGTTTTTACTGTATTTATTTTTAAATATTTGAATAAATTAGCGTAACATGTCAATCAAACTGTCGTCAACGTAAATTCAGCCGATCACAATTCTCGGCAGCTGGCTGCTGAGAGTCATCAATTTGACTAGGGCTTTCGGGCAGGCTCTCCTTCAATAGAGCCGGCCACGCTGGCTAATTCCTAGCCATCAACTTCTAATTAAACTCAAAGTCACTTTTCTATTTTTGGTCGGCAACTTGGCAAAATATCATCGCTTGGTATAACAATAAAATATTAATAACTTATAAAGTCTCAATTAAATGTCACAATTAATACTAAACACATTATAAATAACACTGTCAAAATTAAATGTCCAGTAAATTATAAACAAAATAAGATATTGAAAATATATTAAAAAGCACATATTATTATTTATAAAGACAACTTAATCACAAACAATTGCACATTAGTACAAACCAAATTTACGACCAAAACAAATACAAAATATATTCAAGAATTAACTGAAAAATATACAGGACACATTTCAACCTTGTATATATGGCGATATCTTTAATACTAGAAAACGTCAAAATATTCTCCATATTTTTCAGTTCTTTAAATCTTTGGGCAACGTTCATGAAACCTTGTTAAACAATCAACGCTACCTACACTATAAATATTCAAAATAAACAAGTAAAGCAACAGTATATACCTTCCCGAAATGTAAGTGCATTTCGTATCTTCTCTCGGTACTTTTGCGAGTATCGTTTGAGCAATTTCCGGGAAATTGCCAGTATTCTCCGAGTGGTCTACAAGTACAGTAGTGTCTCGAGCAATGAGACTGTAATATATCGGCATTCTCGATCGCTTTCGTTCTCAAACTTTTGTTTTAAAAGTGGACAAAATAGCACTTGTAATTTTCTGTATTTCGGAAAGTGAAGTCAGATTTTCTAATGAGCTCATTCAGCCGTGAAACAAAGGTCTGGGTACTAATCAACACTGACCGCTTTGCGCAACTGTATGGAGATCGACGCAAATTTTAAATTATGCAATAATAATAATAATAATAATAACACTTTATTTACAACTTTTTTCCAATCTCGTTCCTCCTTCAGTCACAACATCCTGGGAACGAGGTCGCGTCAGTCAACGCTCTGCCGACAGTGGCGTGGGTTTTCTTTGGACGGTCTACATCAGGTCACAGAATAGATACAGGACCAGAAGTGTCACTCAGACGATATTTTGTCCGAAATTTTACGAGTGCTGACGTGAAAATACGCCATCATATGACGCCCCTGGAGTGCACACGGAAGTTTTTCATAGGAAAACATAGGTACAAAGTGCCGGGTGCACTCCAGGATGGCGTCATAGCACGCAGAAAAATTTCGGACGTTTTCCTTCAGCCAAAACACATAGGAGTGACACTTCTCGTCCGGTATCTATTCTGTGATCAGGTTGTTGCAACATTGATGAACAAACAGGATTGAACAGTGTTTTGTGGCCCACATTGTCCACAGTTGTCAACAATATTGAACAATATTTTTATTAACTAATAATAAAATGTGCCTAATCTGACTAACTAAATTAAATGACTACGTGAGAAATTTTTGTCATTATTCTACACTACAAGTACCCAAAAAAGCTATATGCATCAAAAACTGGATGGCTAAAGGCCCACCTGTAGACCGGACGCGATTCGGCCACGCGACGCGAATTTTCAGTTTTCAAAAACAAATAAAACCGTCAACGGATAAAAAGCAAATAGCAAAAGTTGCTCAAGTAATTCCGAATATTTGAAAAACATTAAAAAATATAAGTTAAATGTCATTGAAAACTGAAAATTCGCGTATAGCGTTGCCAAATCGCGTCCGGCTGTTTTGCGAAATTAAGTGCAGTAATTTCAAATCTGTTCAGTTTTTTATACATCCTGTATATGAGGTTCATGTAATGTGTACGAGTTGCAAGTCCATCCTGTGGTGCCAGACTCTCAGGATAAAGATATTACTGACAGGTGTCGCTACTAGTTCCTATCAGCCGTCGTTAGCGACCAGATGACGCAGTGTCATCGACACGATTGACATCTTCAGATACGAGTTGATTTCGACGTGGAACTACCACTATACGAGTTGCCAGCCAAGGCTGAAGAGCCTCATATGCCCTGGTTAAAAATCAGAGTTTTCTTCTCCTAGGTGAACTACCATCCAAGGTTTGACCAGCTCCACCCACCCGAAGCATTGGTTATTTAAAGGCGCCAACAATTACTCGCCTTTCACCACTTCACTGACCAATACAGCCATTTGCAGTTGCATTGGGCGTACAGATGAGTAAAGTTTGAGAACATCCAGTTTGACTTAATCTAATTAAAGAATATATCGAAGTTTCAAATTCTCGATCTGTCCTTTTTGATACTAAATTACTGATCATTCAAATCTCTCTCAAAATTTGCAAAGATAGAACGCAGTCATGATTCCAGCTTGTTTAATGGTTAGATTAGTCAGTTTATGAGCGGGTGGAGTTGGTCCTTGAACGATGGGCCGAGTTGGTTAGTGGGCCGAGTTGACTATAAAGCAAAAGGACATCGATCCAGATGTTTTGCAGTGGTTTTGCATCTTTCTTCTCCCGCGAATATTTAAATCATTGTCAACCACAATGCATTGCGTGCGTCAATTCGTCCGCGGCCATTTTGTTCAGTGCTTCCATTTTCAAAAAAACATTTCCTTGCAGCCGTTCAAAATTTCCTTATTTTTGACAAAATTTCCTTGCAGTAAAAGTATTGAATTTTAATCCTAATTTAGAACTGATTTTATAGTAATTTATCTCAAATAACGGGGTATTTTTTTGTTCTAGATGGAACATAGACGTTGCAGGGGCTGAATTATCAAAGGGGAGGGACAAAGAGTTTACCTTAGTAGATCAAACACGAAGGAGAATAACCAGGGGTCTGGGGATCCTCCCTCAGAAAATCGGGATTGTCTGGGGGTCCTCCCTCAGAAAAGCTGTCGTCTTGTACCGTAAACCTCCGACTATAAGTCCCCCAAATATAAGCCCCCCCCCCCAATGTATAAGCCCACCACATGTACTTACGCTCACTTGATTTCAAATATAAGCCCCTCCCCGCGTATATAAGCCCCCAAATATAAGTACCCTAATTAATATAAGCCCAGTAATCGCTGCTTAATACATGTTTATTTTCCCGTTTATGACTGACTTGTTTATGTCTGACTTGTTTATTACTAAAACAAAAGATCGTCTATGTATAAGCCCCCCCTCCCCTTGTATAACCCATCAAAAATCGCTTACGAAAGTATATAAGCCCAGGGCTTATACACCCTTTTCATAAATGGCTGCCGATTAAAAATTCTTTTATGTGCATATAAACTGGCCCAACTAGCCTCGTTTCTGGGTAGAAATTCCTTTGAAATCTTAACATGAGTACGAGGCTAGTTGGGCCAATTTATATGCACATAAAAAAATTTTTAATCGGCAGCCATTTATGAAAAGGGTGTATAGTCGGAGGTTTACGGTATATTGATAACATTGAACCCTTTCGTTTTCAAGGCCGGGCGAAAATAGCAAATGAAAAAAACACATCATATATCTATGGAGATTTTTATTACTCATCGCATGAATACATCAATCTTAGTTATTTCCAAATATAATAAAATACTTTCAATAATTCAAATAAATTCATATTAACCTAGAACGAGGTCTCATACTCTCAATTGTGTTGCAACTTGCATTAAAGATTTAATTCCTGGCATGAATGAACTTATCTCGGAAAAACTGCCACTAGATATTAGGTTGGTATAGGCTTGGTAACCGCTCGCGTAGTCTGTCGCCTGACAAGCTGAAAAGAACGCGAACATTTCAAGTTTAAACTGCCCCGTACATGTACACATAATAATCTCAGAACTTGTCAACAAGATACATTCACAACAGGGTTCGTAGCGGTCTTTGAAATCCTTGAAAGTCTTTAAATTTGGAAGTCTTTGAATTGTGTGAAAAAGTGAAGAAAGTCTTTAAAAGTCTTTAAATTGTCGAAGTGAGTATTTGATTATGCGATTTCCAAAATTGATTGAAGCAAGATTTTCGCAAATATCGACGAAAAGTGCATTTTAGGATGTGATTTGACGGGACTAATTACAGTACTTGGTAAAAATACTGTGCTTAACTCGAGTTCGTAGAATAACTGTTAAATATATATATATATATATATATATATATATATATATATATATATATATATATATATATATATATATATATATATATATATATATATATATATATATATATATATATATATATATATATATATATATATATATATATATTACGACAAAGTATCGAAGAATTTATTAAAGATGACTAAAGATTCTAAAAATTCTTAGAATGTAGCCATCGTAGCCATCTCTTTGTCGTAATATTATGTGCTGTTGGCTAAGGCAAGTTTTGGTCATTGTCGTATGAGTTCGTAGAATAACTGTTAAATATATATATATATATATATATATATATATATATATATATATATATATATATATATATATATATATATATATATATATATATATATATATATATATATATTATACTATATATATATACTATATATATATACTATATATATATATATATATATATATATACTATACTATATATAT